AGAACAGTATCCTCCTCGTGTGATCTCAAGACTTCCGCGTTTGCTAAATGTGCGACTCAAGATGCATTAGCCAAATTTAAAAAAAAATTCTTGTGACCACGTGAGAGGAAAAATAGGCATGATGAAATATGTGCAGGTCCCTGGCAATTAATTACTACCAGAAAAAAAGGAGTACTAATTTAAACGCCGACATCCTCAGCGCGCGTTAGATGCCAAAAAAAGCTATACAAAAAATGTTTGATGACTATGGAATAGTGATGAAAGTACAAATTATGATGTGACGATTGAAGAGACTACCATTTTTATTCAACATGAGTCAATCTCTATAATCTTTAACTCCGCCAAACACACATGATTAGATTACGCATCGAGAGAGAGATAGGGGGGTCAAACAACAACACTTTAAAATACAGCAAAGCAACACAATCGCCCGCTCTCGATAACTTGCTATGAGCGGTTAAAATTTATGGTACAATTTGGATTCTCGTTTGCCAATTATTGCCCCTCATTTGAAACGAGTTCGCTATACGATTTATCAGCAAGCTTCACTCTCAAAAGCTCACCACCAGCAATAGCATTAAAAAGGAAGTAGGAGACTAAAAAACGGTCAGGCAGCTTACAAGGCGGACGCAGGTAAGGACACAAGTTAACTTCGACACTGAAGTTAGGGATTATCTCCGCGAGGCAGAAGTAAGTTCGCGGGCGGGCGTGAACCTTAAGCATATAAGACTCACCATCCTGCACAACAGCTCTTATCAACGGACTGCTTTGGTTTTCAACGCCTGCTAAATCTAAGATTGCATTCGAACGAAGTGGAAATGGAAAAAAAAGGATTGGAGGAGGGAAGAAGCAGAAACTGGGGCTGGGTAAAAATGAGTAAGGGGTGGAGAGCAATGCGCATCCAGGTTCCTTCAGCAATACCACCATGCTCTATAAGAGGACTCAAATCAATGGGTACCTAGAGCCGCGAGAAATGTCATATTAAGGAGGACTAATTGTGGCATAACTCTCAACTCCAAAGACGACCCAGCACTCGTGTGATTTTGGAAGCGGGTTGGTTTTTGTATAAAGGAGGAGATTGACGGCTGGACTGGATGAGGAAGTGTGTAGGTCGCGGATGACTAGTTTTTACAGCAGGTTTTATCTGACTGCTCTTATAAGATCGGTACTAAAAGTGCCCATGGACGAAAAAAGAACGCAAAACTGCACTGTCACATTAAGGTGCGTGTTTAACATCCGATTCATTTCAACACCACTTTTAAAAAATAACCTTTGGCTTGAAGATTCCAATCATCGGTTTCTTTACAGAGCAGAATGAAAATCCAGTTATATTAGAGGAAAGTATGTGGTTCGGTTTAAATAGCAGAGCCACAATGACCAGCTGGTCAAAATATATGCGTCTGCATAGTCCTAAGTTATTCGGCCATCGGGCCGCTAGGGCAGATAATTAGATGTACTCAAAGAAGTTAGTGTGACTAAATGCTGGTCAGCTATCGTCCAATGTTGCGAGCCGGTGGATGTGAGATACGCTCGCGGCCTTCAAAATATTCCAGCACTCACGATCTGCTGGGACAGTCAAAATATAAATAC